ATAAATTTGCAGAAAAAAAACGGCGGATGAGGGGCGGCCGAAGAGTAAACTTTAAGTACTGAATATTATGTCACTTATTTATGTGCAAATGTTTAATAACGAAGAACATTAAAACATTCCTGTTGGCCACATGTCGGCAAAGTCATGTGACATTAGTGACGTTTGTTCTAACTTGGTTTTAAAGCCTTTACTTTAAAATATACGCCGTTCAATAGCTGAGCTTAATCTTACAGAGAATGATCAAAGCTCATGTAGAAACAAACAAACAAATGAACAAAAGATTTTCTCCTTCATTTCTGTCAAACAAAGCTGTATGACACGTTTCCAGCTGTTCGTATCATGGTTTTAAGAAGAAGAAAGTGTACTTTATTGGTCCCCGTGGGGAAAATCCCTCTCTGCATTTAACCCATTCACTCAGTGAGGCAGTGGGCAGCCACTGGGCGCCCGGGGAGCAGTGTGTAGGGACGGTACCTTGCTCAGGGGTACCTCAGGGTAGCTGTTCAGGGGAATCGAACCTCCAACCTTCCGATCATGGGGCCACCACTCTACCTACTGAGCTATCTCTGCCAGGCAACCTGGGCAGCGCAACGGAGGCTTTTTTAAAAAAAACTTTATTGACAAACAACAGTATCAGCGCAACGGAGGCTAGACCGTCCCATTACACAAGCCTCGGTCTTTGAGTACGCGGCCCTTGAGGGTCGTTGAGGCTGCGTACTTTAAGGCTGCAGACCCTGAATTGGGATACAGCCATAGACCCCTATGTAACAGTTTTCAACAAAGTTCAGGTGTACACAAACCAAAATGATGGAGGTAAAGGGGCAAAAATGTTTCTCTAGCACACAATCTGAAAGAAACTATTGAAAGAAATAAGTAATGACAGGTGGGCTTTACTTTAATAACAGATTCAATTTATTTAATGCAGGCAGAAGCTAACAGCAATAATCTATAAAAAACTATTCAAACATTATAAAGGTAAAATTGAAGTAAACCCTTATCTTCATTTATCCCTATTCCATCTTATTCTACTCTACTTAAAACCCTCTTTGACCTTTTAAAGCGATGCTGAATGAAAGATGAGCTCAAACCAGCCTTCCTCAGCTCTGGCAGGTCCCCATGACGCAGGAAAAACATCTTTGCCTCACACTGTGCTCTCAATCAGAGAAACATATGTGCAGCTATAGGAACGAGGTCTTTGCTGAAGGCTGGAGGAGTCCAAGGGAAACAATCATCCCCTTGAAACTTTCTACTTTATTATTGTCATTAGTTACTGATATGCAGATAAAACACAACAAAACAAAGTCAGTCTAAATGAACTAAATAACCAAAGATATTATGAACCAAATAAACTGAATAGCTTGATTTATAAAAAACAAAATAAATAAAAAACGTCAACATTTTCTATTTATTAAAAAACAAATACCTCGAATGCAGTTTTACATCACAAGACACCAACCAGCAACAGTCATTGGTTATCCACTAATAGACAGCAAATACAAAACTTAATATACAAATTGAGTTTCAATCCCCCTCTAAATAAAGACTGTATATCAATAAATATAACCAAAACTAAAATTCATTTTTTAAGAGTCACCATATTTTCACTGAAGAATTAGATGAGAACAGATTAGATGAAACTCTGCTTTATACATAATAATCATGCAATAAATGATGTTTGTCGGAACACAGTCTAAAGATATTTGAACTCTGAAAGCTCTCCTGTGAACACGTATAAGTCCGCCAATCTTCTTTCACGCTTGGCTTCTCTCCACATGTTTCAAGACTACAATTTCTGAAAATGATACGCTTGATACAACGGTGTGAGTTCTTCTATGTCCAAACAGACACTTCTGTATGTGAACGTTCTTCCGCATTTTGTACAACATTATGGTTTCTCACCTGTGTGAGTTTTCATGTGACGCCACAAATGACTGTTATATGTGAACATTTTCCCGCATGTTTTGCAATGATACGGTTTCTCACCAGTGTGCGTTCTTATGTGCCCGAACAGCTGACTTCTGTATGTGAACATTTTCCCGCATGTTTTGCAACAATATGGTTTCTCACCTGTGTGTGTTCTTATGTGCACTGATAAATGACTGCTACATGTGAATATTTTCCTGCACGTTTTACAATGATACGGCTTTTCACCTGTGTGCGTTCTCATGTGTATAGTCAAACTACCCCTCTGTGTGAAACTTTTCCCACATGTTTTACAAGAATATGGTTTCTCACCTGTATGGGTAGTCTTATGGCTTTTAAGAGATGATGACACATAAAAACCTTTCCCACATGTTTCACAAGAATACGGCTTCTCACCTGTGTGGATTCTGTGATGTTGATTCATGTTGTACTTATTCTTAAAGGATTTTCCACAAAAATCACACGTTAAGGACTTTTTACCCGTGTCAGAGTTACACCGACTCTCTGAGTTACTATTTGTCCCTGAATCTAAATTCCAGCTTCCTTCATGATTTTGGCTCTCATTTATAGGACAGTTGTGATAAAGAAGCTGGTCAGTGTTTGCTTCTGGGTCATTGTGGTCTTCTTCCTCAGCAGCAGTCACCACAAAGGTATCAGTCTCCCCCTTCAGTCCAAGCTGCTCTCCCTCTGGTTCTGGTTCCTCCTGGTCCACACTGTAGCTCCTTTTCTGCTTCCAGAGCTTCTGTTCAGGGAGAACCTCCTCCTCCTCACAGACAGGCTGCTGTGGGACGTCTGGAAAGACAAAAGGACACGAGAAAATGAAAAGTGATGTGATAATAGAAAAACATGCCTGAGAAAATACATTGTCAAAATAAGACTTTTACAGAGAAAATAAGTGTCATCCACAAAGGCTGCCACTCCAGAAATCAACAGAGGAAGAGAGAGGTTAAACGGCAAGGTAGAAAAGCTGCAGGCAGTGAACATGTACTGAATGAATAAATGATCAGTATGACACGACAAACCAACTTTCTAACAGTAACAAAATAAAAAGATTGTGTTTGTGTCGTTTTTATGGCATTCATGCAGGTTTTTGTCTTTTAGTCGATTCTTTAAAGAACTTTCAGTTTGAATACATTTCCAGTACATTTAAATAAATGTTTATATTTTGCATGTGTATTTTAAAAATGTCAGTTGGTAAAAATTTACAGACGAGTGAGATAAAAGTGTAATACTGTGCAAAAGTCTAAAGCTATCCTTCATTTATGTTTTGCCTGGAAAATGAGGAAATGATGTAGCAAGTTAATGATTTATAATTCCTTCAGTTTTAATATGAGCTCCAACACTGGCTGAAATGCAGCGCAAACCATGACAGCACCTCCACCGTGTTCAACAGAAGGCTGCAGACGCCGACTGTTAGACCTCTCTCCTGACCTCCTTCAAACATGTTGATCATGATTCAGATTCATAACTTACATGAGTCCCATTCATGTGTGACTTCATTCAGACTTTTACATACCTGTAATGTGAAGCTGTATTTCGGGTTTCCAGCTGACATCCATGAGTCTGTGCTGATGGTCGTTCTCTTCCTCGTACAGGATAGAATTATTAATAACTTCAAATATTTCTTTAGATTTGGACTGAAGAAACATAAACGTGTCAGAGCTGTGAGAGGGGAGCTGGTCAGTGTTTGCTTCTGGTTCACTGTGCTCTCCTTCCTCAGCAGCAGTCACCATGAAGGTATCCGTCTCCTCCTTCAGTCCCAGCTGCTCTCCCTCCTGACTGCTGCACAGTTCCTCCTGTTCCTCTTTAATCTGTGGAGCTTCTGGTTCCTCCTGCTCCACACTGGAGCTCCTCTCCTGGTTCCAGAGCTGCTGCTCAGGGAGAACCTCCTCCTCCTCCTTACAGACCTGCTGCTGTGGGTCGTCTGGAGGAAAAAAAAAAGGACACAAGAAGAAGAAAAGTGATGATGTTAGACGTTGGACTCATTTTTTAAAATCAGCTTCGCTCCTCAGAATCTCAAGAGGTTGTGAGCAGAGCCGATTATGCCCAGAGTTACATAAAAGTAATGGCTGACTTTTGTATTTGTGCATTCACGACTGCTGAATTATTGCAGATGAGGCGGGTCCATAGTGGAAGTTAATGTCAGCTGCTCTGGGACATGAAAGCTCGTCCCCTGAGCAGTAAAAGCAGCTTAAAAACTATCAGCAGCTCCATTCAGAAGAGCTGCTGTTAACCAAAGTGCTTCTGCAGGTTTGAAGTCAGCTGGCAGACATTTTTAACCAAATCATCATTTTGTAACATTTCCTGTAGATACACTGACACTGACAGATCTGGAGAAACTGTTGATTGTTTCTGTTTCATTTGCTGAAGTCTTTAACTCCTTAACACCTGGTGTATCATATTTGTGAGTCTTTGTGAGTTTTTGAGACTTATATCATCAGTGGGTTTCACTCCACTGAAAATCCTAAGTGAATTAAAAATAAATAAATAATAAAAATGCAACCAATGAATTGAAAAAAGCCAGCTGTAACAAATATGACACAAATTAAAGTTCATATATGCATTTTTATTGTCAGAAGCTTCACACTAGCCAGCGCTGCGGTTTCATTTTAAGACACTGATAAGCTCTAAACTCATAATTTCCTACGTGTGTCATGTTCTCAGTTTATCTCTGATATAAACAGCACATGCTCACAGCCTGATGGCAACAAATGACACCAGCCAGGTTCTCCAATAGACTCTGAGCCCTGTTTTTACATCTATCAGTTTTAAAGTTCAAGCTGTCTGAAGGTAAACACACGGATCACAGATAAGAAGCATCTGTGCTGCATCTCACCGAGCAGCTGCTCGGATTAAACTGTCATTAAAGACAAACTCAGAGTTATTTACACTTAATATCGACATGTGTATCACACACACACACACACACACACACACACACACACACACACACACACACACACACACACACACACACACACACCGGCTCGGTGAAAATGATGCATTCAGGTTTTTCTACCTCACAATCAGAAACGTCCCGCAGAGCTGTGATCAGGATGCTCCCTCAGAGGGACACTCACCTGTCCTGTGCAGCTTGATTTGGGGTTTCCAGGTGATATCCAGCAGTCTGCGCTGACGGTCGATCTCTTCCTCGTACTGGACGATCGTTTTTTCAAACTCCAAGAATATTTGTTCAGCAGCAGCAGTTAGTCGCTCGTTGATAAACTCTCTCAGATACTGAACTGAAGGCATCGTTGCTGCCGCAGCTCACACACTTCGTGCTCAGACACACGGGAGGAAAGCTAACGGTTCTTCCGCCTTTTCTTTGTTTACTTCCGCCTGGTGTCACAATGTGAAGTTCCGTCAGTTGAAGGCAGATATTAGTGGTTGGAAAACAGGGAAATAGTGCATTAGCGCCATCTGCTGGTGGGAAGTGTGAACGAGCGCGTCACTGAGAAAAAGAACTGATTCTGTTACTTTAACAGGACCTGAAAGTTTCGCTGTCAGTGACTTTAATGAGGTTTGGGGTCAGTCTGCAGCTCTCAGCCGCATGTTTCTGACAGCCTGGTGTAAGATGATGCTTGGTTTCCTCACAGCTGTCACATGTCCTTGTGTTTCCTGTTTGAACCATGCGCTGTTTAAACCAGAGCATCCAAATCAAAGTGCTGATGTGTCCTCTCTCTCCTGCTTTCCTCTGAGTCCTGTAACACCGTCATCCTTCTTTTTCCTCCGCCCACTGCTTTTCCAACGTTTCCACCATTTCTGCTTTATCATGCTCTTTATTTCTGCCTCGCTCATGTCGATGCTGAAGTATTTACTACACATCCATAATGACACTCACAGCACCGATCAACCTAACCAAGTCCACAGTCACATCCAACGCATAAACACATAAAACATCAAAGTTGCCTCAAAGAGCAAAGACCCTGCAATATTATAAAGAAACCAACAATCCGACGACCCAGTGCCCACTCGCCCAAATCCATGTCATGATCATCATCTACCCAAGACACCGCTCCAGTCCAACCACCCACCAGAAACCCAAAGAAACAAGTTCTGTTTGTGACCATTTATATTTTCTTTCATTGCTCTTCTCGTGGGAGCTCAGTGATGGAGAACATTTGGCTCGTTGTGCACACAGTGCAAAGTGCTCCATCCTCCCTCCTCACAGTGATTCAAATGCTGCTAACAGTCTGTGAACCAGGAGGAAGAGGAAGTGAGAGAAGTGAGACTCAAAGAGGAGACAGAGGGCGACATCATCCAGTAGGCGGGGCTCTCCTTCTGCACTGTGTTCAACCATTGTGTCAATAATAAGTGCTGCTGTGAAGAGAACAATTCTCAGACTGAATGTTGAACATCAGCTAGTTTTATTGCAAATGGTAAACTATTCAAAATATGAGGACATTTGAAAGAAAACGAGGACTCACCAAGTTATGTTTTGGATTTTGGTAGTTTGCAGGCTCCCTGAGCTGACTTTTAGAATCATATTGGTCACTAACTCTGGGACAAGGCCAGTGATGCATTTGAAAGCCAGTTTTAAAAAAAAGAGAGAAATCTGTCTTGGCATCTAAAAAAACCATCTTTAGAACAACACAGAGCAAATAAACTCATTTCCATTGTTAATTCAGTAACTTGGAAAAAAAGAAAGGAAATATTCAGTTCAGGGACTTTAAATATCACGAATGTTTTTAACTAACTTCCTTTTTTCTTTTATTTGTTTTTTTTATGTTTTCTGTTCATATAAAGTATCTGTCTATATATCATCATTTAGTGAAAATAGATAATTTAAGATTAATCACATTCACATAAGTCATCATTTCACTGGAAACTTTGGAAGCCTTGACATGACTGGAAAGACTGAAGCAGTTCACATATGTTTTTGTCATTGGACTGATGACAAAGACAACATGAAGCAGTAAAGATCAGAGACAGAGACAGAGCTGCTGTGGAAGCACAAAACTGTTTGATTGGCTGAGCTATTAAACTGGCCCCGCCCACTGAAGTTGAGCTCATCCAATGACATTATTTGTTGGTCATTGTGCTGCAGTGGAAGAACATTGTTCATGTGCTGTCTGTCTGGCTTTAATAACTCCAAAGACATGTTGCTGCACCTCTTTTTGCTTCTATCTCACATTATAGGTGAGTTTAAGAACAGGGATTA